CGAAGGCTTTCGACATATCGGCGAACAGAGCTCTGACGAGGGTTGGTTTCTTAGAATCCAACGCTGTTAGCCAGGTTTGTACCATGCGCACAAGAGCAATTGTTGTCGAAGAGCCCCTCATGTACGCATACTGATCTTTTATGACGGCGCGTAGGGAGGGGAGGAGTCTCTTCAGGATACAACGCTCCATCAGTTTGGCCAGCACGGGTAGGAGAGAGATGGGCCTCATATCGCAGACTTCTGTTGCCTCAGCTGACTTCGGAACTGGTGCGACGTTAGCTGATTTCCAGATGAGCGGTACTGTACCCGACTCATACGACTCGTTGAAGAGGTGAGTTATGATGGGTGCCAGATCTTCAGCATGCTCTTTAAGGATCCAGCTGGGGAGATCATCTGGACCACTAGCCTTCCTGGGGTTGATGGACTTCAGCAAGGCTTTCACCTCTCCAATAGAACACAGATCCACACAAGTGGCTCCACGAGGGAGTGGGAACAAGGAGAGTTGCTCACCTTGGCACCAGGACTTAGAGAAGTGGGTGTTGGTGTTTTCTGCCACCTCTGCTGCTGATTGTGTGCCTGTTGTGTTAGGCCTGGGTCTCTCACACGTTCTCCCCAGCTCCTTATTGATGCACGCCCACCATTTACGAGGATTTTCGTGCCTCAGTTGCTGGATACAGTTGCGATAATGCCAGTTCTTTGCTTGTCGTATGACAGTTTTCACCTTGTTCCTAAGGCGTCTCCACGTGGGGGATTTACCATGTCTCTGGAATTCAGTTTGCCGCTGGACGATTGCTCGTCTGACTCTGTCAGTCATCCAGGGTTTGTTGTTTTTTGGTCACAGTTTTCACCCTGACAGGAAAGTGCCTATCAATGAGGGCTGAGATGATGGAGTAAAAGGTTGAAACCTTCCTCTCGACAGACGGAGCATCGGTCACTGCCGTCCACTCAGTCCTCGCCAAGGCTAGAGCGAAGTCAACTTTCCTTGTGTTGGTCACCACTCTGTGGAGGCATTTGACTGTGTGTTTGCTTTGCAGCTGCAAGGGTTTTTCTGGCTGAAGCACGACACAAGAGTGATCACTACTGCCTACTGGTGGGATTACCCGTGGTGTACAGTAATGTTGGGAAATGTTTGTGATCACAACATCCAGGATCGCACTGCCTCTTGTAGGTTGTTTGACTACTTGTCTCAGAGTGGGATGAGCTGCCTGGAGTCGTCGCAGTGGTAGTCCATTCAGGTCTCCACAGATCAGGATTCCAGCTTGGGGCTGGTGGTTGTGAATACTGTCCACTGTGGTTACCAGGTGAGTTATCATCTCGTCTACACCCTGTTTGTTGTTCTTGCACGGAGGGTGATAGACCAAGCCAAGCATGATCACTGGGATGGTCCTGGGAAGCCATTCTGGCCGAAGTTGAAGCCAGATCACTTCCAGATTCCTGTCTTCCAAATCGTGCAGTCTGCGGGCATGAATGTCCACAGGTAAGTATACCGCAATCCCCCCACCTTTCTGGTGCAACCGATCCCGTCTAAACAGTTTGAAACCACCTATAGACATTACATCATCTGGGATATCTGGGGTGGACCAGGTTTCAGTTACACATGCAATTTGAACAGAGTGATTCTCAATTGTGGCTTCCAGTTCATGCTTTTTGTTCCTAAGAGACCTTACATTAGTCAACATGAGTGAAGGGAGTGCTCTACCATTTTCACGAATACTGTTGGTTTTAGAATTACAGTCAACAGGTACATTGGACAATACCCTATCTCTCTTAAACAGCGGTCTTTCCCAACTCCTCTGGCTAACTCTGGGTTTGATTCTACAGAGCTTATCTCTCCTACTCACACCTCCCCTTCTACCCCTGTAGCTACTAGTCCCAGGATCAAAACCTGCCACTGGTCTGGTGTAAGTTGGATAACACATACTGACACAGGTTACAGACTATATGATATCAATGGTACAAGGGGTTCAGATTAGCCAGTCTAAAATCAGCCGGTTAACAAGCTATCCTTACTCTTGGTAGTATGCAAGTACTTCTACTCAGTCATATACTCAGTCATATACATGTACAAACATGTCTCTGGGAGTACAAATGCATATAGTAATAAAATAGTACAGTTACACTATTACAGCTGCCGCTGACCCGGCGCTAAAAAGTTACAAAACACAGCAATAACAGTTATCAAGTACACAGAATGCTAACTAACTAGTATTAAAAGCATATTGCACATAGTCTCGAGAGACGCAGAGGAACCGGAGGTCGGAAGCAGTGGCCCCCTCCCCACTTACCAAGTTGAAAAACAAGTGGGGTTTTTTCAAGTTAAAAAAACATTTGGCAAATAAAATGACAGTCCAGTACAACTCTATAAGAGTCATCTATCATTGTGTTACAGAAGGGAAACTGGATGGATAGTTTGAAATGAAAATTTTACCAATTTAGATCCTTCCAGCTCCCACAGTTAAAAAAAAACATGGCTGCCCTCTTCCTGACCTCTGACCTTGTTCTCCTTTATTTGCGGAGATCTAGAGTATGTAGGACTCGGGAGCTATTATAGGTTTGGTAACCTGGCTAGCGGTAGGCACCCAATACAATATTGATTGTGTCTGTGTATAACAGTGAGTGTGTTTGTGTGCCCGTGTATGTGTACGTGTGCATGTGCGTATGTAATGAATGACTTTGTATGTACGCCAAAATTGGCTCAGTATGAATGTGTATATGTGGGTTCAGAGCTGGTATAAAATGTAGCAAAAAAACTATGTCTTGTAGTCCTCAGAAAAATAGAGTTAACATTGAATCTCCCATATAGTTATTTGAGATCTTTGGAGAGGTTGTATCAAAATTGATGACGAAAGCCCATCAGTTTGCTGATTATTTCTCCATATCTGTGTTGTCACAATGCGAACACATAGCGTAGACTGTCATACTTACACAAGTCATGTACAATGCACCAGGGGGAACGAAATAGAGACTAATTATGTAGACAAACATGATCACAAAGAAACGTCACCTCCGTGAATAGTTTCATCAGTTTGGTAAGTCACTAACTAAAGAGACGCTTTTTACGCAACCAAGAGGTTTGTTCAGCCAACGTTTCAGTGACAAGGGCAATGTGAACCAGGCAGAATTTATTCATCTATTTATTTATTTATTAATCTTACAAACAAATGGGAAGTCCCTTCAGCCATTGAGGCTGATTTCCCAGGGAGCCCATGGAAGCACGGTACAAGAAAATGATGTACCATAAAATAAAATAAAATAATAATAATTAAACGTAGCAAAGGAATTCGAAAATCATAAATCAAAGTACAATAATAATAATCATTGCCCCGAGGAAGTGGACATACGGTCACGGAAACGTCGGCTGAATAAACCTCTTATTTGTGTAAAAAGAATCTTTTTTATTTAAAGAAACTCCTGTTTCGCTCCATACGTATAACGTTGGCAAATGTGAAGCAGTGCTTACCTTAACAGTGGTCAGATCTCTGTATTCCAGCTTGAAGTCTCCAGGTTGGAGCAGATTGTAAGAGTCCTCAGACACATGGATCTTCATAGCTGCAGAGTAAAGATATACGCAGAAAATTTCAGCTGCATTTTCGAGATTGTACAGGACTCATAATATTCGAAAGACCTATCAACGCGTTTGTTACAAAACAAAAATAAATCATCCAAAAACTCCTATCACCCATACATAGAATAAATGATATCTGATTCAACTAAACGAATTTATAAGCGGATGATATATATGTTACAATGTAGAACAAAATTAAAAAAAGCTATGGCTGTGACTGAGTAATGTTCACTGCAACGATGTTATTTGTTTTACGTTTGAAGTAAACAGTGGTGTCAACTGTCTGTAGACAACTTTTAAATCACTGCAAATTCACTTCTGTTTTAACAAGTTTGAAACGGTCTGTAAGACGAAGGATGTTCGTAACTGCACAATGATATATTTTGACAGTTCACATTGATACACCGTTCAAATTCCTGCTTCAAAGTCTTTCTACAGAAACAGTTTCTTTCCCCGGACTGAAAAAATTATGGAACTCCCTGCTTTCTTCCAAATACAATCCTCAAAGTTTCAAAATAAACATTCACCACTATCTTTTGCATAGTCAGTCGTCTGTCGTAACATCTAGCTCAATGCCTAGAAGTGGTCATTTGGCTATGCATTGAGCAATGCCGTTACAAAAAAGCCATGCACGTCCCACCTTCGCCTGTCGACTCCATCCTGGAGGCTATGTTGACAGTGTCTCCGAACAGACAGTACCTCGGCATCGTCTCACCCACCACTCCTGCCGCACACTCACCTGAGGGGATGTGGAGACATGTGTTACGTTTCTCAATACCCGCCGGAATAATTTTATACATGATACATTTGCACACTCTCTTCATAAACTTTTTTTTCTATAGGGTGCTACGCCTATTCATACATATGAAATATTTGTTGACTGTGTACTTATGTCATTATTATGTAACTGCAATCATTTATACACTTTCAGGTGTAGCTAGCAGCTTCCAGATCTAACCATCCAACATGGCGGGCAGCACGTACGTCATAGTCACGTGAGTGCAAACACTCTATAGTTAACATTTTCCACTTGTGTTAGCTAATACATCCCCCTCAGTTTCATGATATTGAAATCCTTTGCTACCATGCTGCATAGCAATCAATAAATTTGCATTGGCAAAAACCGTAGTGATTTTGCTGCTTAAACGCGCGTCTTTTGGTAAACTCACCCGAGTGAATGCCAATGCGGATTTTCAGCACCTCCTCCGGTCTGCCCCGAATCTTGAACCCGGCGACTCCGCGGAGAATCCCCAGGGCAGACCGGGAGATCTCCTTGACGTGCTCGCTGCCGTTTTTCCGCGGCAGGCCCGACACGAGCATGTAGGCGTCCCCGATAGTCTCCACCTTGTAGACGTCGAAGTCGTCGATGATTTGGTCGAACATTTTGTACAAGTCATCTAGTAAAGTGACCACCTGGAGAAAAAAATACATAGGTGATATATCAGGGGCAAATTATTCAGCATGTGACCTTAGAAGCCAGTTTTCAGTTCCAAGTGCGCATGTGCAGTTCTAGTGAATTGTGGTCTATAGTGTGAGGTGTTGAGCTCATGGTAATTTTTTGTATACATGTCAGGACCCTCAAATTTGGCCTTAGACCGCAATGCGCAATCTCCAATTAGCTTATCAGTCTCAGTAACTAATAGCGGCATCACATATTCGTCTATTGAGAATTTATTGTGAAGGGTGAAAAGACTTTGGAATTTTGTGTGTACGTAAACTAGGAAACGCGAAAGAGTGACCTTGACAGCTATTCAGTGCAGACAGTGAGCTAAAAACTGTTCAGAACAGAAACAAATAATATGACGGGCACCGTTCGAAGGAATGTTGCCCCTTATAACAATACCAAGATCACTGAGCTTGACCCTTCAAACAATAACAAGTAACGATATATATAATTCTGTGTCTGTTACCTCCATGGGCTTCATCTTGTGGACCAAGGCGGTAAAACCGACGATGTCGCTGAAGTAGATGGTGACACATTCAAACCTCTCTGCCTGGACCTTCTGGGCAGACTTCAACTGATCCGCGATAGAACTGCATGATTGCAAAATAGTTAAATACTCTTGTTGGTTAAAGAACAATTTATTGACTGTTGACGATTGACAATAGAAAATGAACTGCACATCCAGGTTACAAATTGATATATACTTGCAGAAGGGAGGAATGAGGTTTTGTCGATGAAGAAAATCGACCTAGAACCACATCATACATAGTATTGTTCACGGCTCACCTCGGCAGCATCCTGTAGAGTAGCATGTCTGATTTCTCCTTCTCCTTTCGCAACTCCTCCGTCCGTTTGTCCACGATGGTCTCCAGGTTACTCACAATCTTCTGCATTCTGCCCAGCAAGTTGTCCACAAGTGTCTTGTCCCTGAGCAGAGTTGAGTAAAAGGGGATGTCAATGTGAACCTAGCCGCTATACTGTGTGCTGAATATGATGCTTATCTCAGCTCGCCTTTTTACATTTAGATTCTAAAAGAATGTCATAGTCTAATTTCCTTATATTTAATATCTGTGGCATTTGCCAGAAGGCTAGCTTGTTTTCATTATATTCAACACTTTTCTGGTAAAGCTTTTTCAACTTTATCTAACGCTACAGGCAAACAGTCTAATTCTAGCGAACTAATTCAGTTAAGGCAAAGCTTCCCACATGTTTTCAGTATAGTCAGGTTTTCGATCTTCGTTTCTGTAGCCATTGGTTGCACAGTTGTGCAAGTACTACGTGTACAACTGGGGGGGGGGGGTAGTCCACTGGTAGACGTGGTGTGTGCTACAACTACCTTACTCCTTGTCTTTAGTGTTATGTGATAAACAGAGAATGTATGTACCATTTCAGAAGTCTTTGGTCTCACCCCCGAATGCAAAGCGAACACTCCACCCAGTAGGTTGTTGCACTGGCGAAATGCTTTACCTGCCAAGAAACTTGCGCACGTGGCTGAACAAATGGTTGAAGTCGGGTCTCTGGATGGGGTCCTCCTGCCAACACTCCGACATCAGGCGCTGAACCTCCTCCAGGAACCTGCTCATCATCTCTTTTCTTCTGTCCTTCATCTGAAGTAAGACATGAAAATACGGTCTTAACATCGAGGCACCTTCTTAGTATCCCAGTCACACCTTAACACCCTTTTAAATACAGTCTCATAACACTTAAATTTTGGTATGAGCTCACGTTGAGCTGCCCAACCCATCACCAAGCGTTTCACCTCTTGAAGAAACAGGAAGCTCTTTGAAGCAAATGAAGTTTTGTACTGTTACGGACAGTTAAAACTACTATGTTATGAAGCACACAAGGGTGTCTATGCTGGTTAGAGAAATCTAGTGTTAGTGTTAGTGTGAGCAAACACACACACATCGTGTACAGTGGATGCGATGTTAGGGAGGACTAGCTAAGGGCTACTGCAGTTACTGCAGACGGAATTCAGGCGAACCTTATCACGGGGAACGAGCGGTACCGTGTCGGAGCCCTTGGAATGAGAATGTGGACCCTGTGTGGTGTGAGGCAATCGGGACGAAAAAACATACAGATGAGTGGTGATGCAGATGATACAGATGAAATGTGTTTGTATACTGTAAAACAGTAAAACAGTTGATGGCCACACACGTCATCTCATGCTAGGCCAGTCGCTCTGATGTACCGGTCTGCGAACTGTACTTTTCTCTGCGTTAGCGTTATGGTCCGTCGTCATCAGCCAATAGCGTCGCTGCCTACGGTCAAGAGGTGACGCGATTGGCTCGTAGTTTCCCCAGGGGCCCCTCTAAGATCAGGAGGAGAACGTGATTGGTCGACGACTGACCAGTCACCAACGCAGCTAGAAAGACTGATCGCGGGCCGGTACGCCAGAGTCAATGCTTGATAAACACAGGCGGTGGGCCTGACATGAAAGGGTGGTAATAGACCTATAAAAACTATTGTTTGATCAGATCAATGTACATGAACATATTTCATCTGTATTGTCATCATTTTCACAGCTGTAAACACTTAGCGGTTGATTCAAGGCAAGACGAGATCGATTACTTCATTCTGTGCGTGGTTAGCCTATGATTGGTCATATATGTGTTGCTGTAGAAATGAGTAATTGGTGAAAACAAACTCTAAAACTATATTTTTATCTTTGCCTTACTTTAGTGTTATTTTACAGTACATGAACGATTCAGCACCTTGTCTTTTGCGGGTGAGTTTGATGAGTTCTGGCTCAGGTCCGGGATGGTGGCGTTGGCGTTCGAGTTGACGGCGGGCTGGATGTCATCCTCCAGCTCTATATCCTCCATGTCGTCCAGCGTCGGCAGCGTCGGGCGGAACAGTCTTCCTCTGGAGTCCGACTTCTTCAACATGACATGCTCTACTTTGGCTGCAATGCGGGTGAACATGGCAATGACAACATAAGGTCTTGATATACACGATTCCTTTTGGTGTTTGGTGGCCTATAGCTAGGGCGAGCTTGTGGCATAGGCAGTAGGCATGACTGCCATCGTGACCAATATTCTCTAAAGAGACATTGGGGAGATATATGAGATACGGGGATTAAAAGGAAATTACATCTGTGTTGGTAGCTAACATTAGACAAAGGTACATAAAACATAATGTTTTCTGTATTGGGTCCATCTTTTAACTGTGCATAATAATCAATGTTTTAGCTCTATGCCGACGTGTTGGCTCTGTATAAATGTACCATTTTACCTCAATTACTTCCTGAAATCATTAGCTAAATCTGCTGTGGATACATGTAATATGCAAATGTTCATGCAAACAAACATACGAGCATACATTTTGCCATCATCGAGTCGTCTTCTTTCACGAAGAAAGGCCCCTCACGCAGCATGATCTCCTGCATGATGATGCCGAAGCTGTAGATGTCTCCTTTCTGTGTCCCCTCCTTCGGCGGGTTCTCTTGTCGCAGCAGCTCTGGAGCACACCATAATTTCTCTGGAGTAGAATACAGGTGGAAGAAAAGGTAAAGAAGTCGAACTCAACTGTTTTCGTATCTAGTAGTATGGCAAGGTGGCCTCGCAGAAACTCCTACTTTTCTCGCCAAGTATTTTGGGTTCTACTGTATTGCGTGCAAAAGTTATATGTCTGAAGCTTACACCTGAAGCACGGGGTTTCCGTGAAGTAAATAGTGTCATCAAGTCCGCTCAACAGAGTTTTATTAGTTTACAGCTATATACTATACTACTACACTAATATTAAGATATTCGAATCTGATGTGTTACGCCGAAGGACGGTTATACTGGCTATACCGATATAGATATACTGTGCCGACTTTTTAATGACCACTCTGTGGTCTTCATCAGGGCAAACTCTCAGTCCTATTTCCCTGTTGTGCTGTTAAATCCTGGTTAAATCCTATTGTATACGTAGAATATTCAACGTGAATAACGACGAAGTAGCTCACTTTCGTAAAAGGCATGAGTCATCTCGCCTTCGCACGGCTCGGAAGAGTCTATCCCTTCTCCCAGGGAAACCCTGAACGACGGCAGCCCGAAGTCGCCGATCTTTACCGCAAACCGGGCGTCAACCAGGCAGTTTGATGACGTCAGGTTACCATGGGAACGCATCTTGCTGCTGTGAATGTGGCGCATGCCCTGGGGGAAGAAACAAGTGCAAAACATTTCTGTCATTATTCTGCTTTTTTAAAAGAATGGCAACAAAATGATGGCAAAATGATAAAGTGGATAGCTGGTGACTACTTAGGGAAGAACGACAATATAAATCAAGGATCTGGAGAAAATTGGCCTCAGGAGGCGTGATGGGAAAGGGTAGCGACAGTTGTGAAAGTGGTGTACAGTGCCACCAGTGCTCAAAGTTGCTGATGTAGTAACTTTGGTGCAGGCTGCCATGATGGTAGTCATATTCGCAGATTACTGGTCTACCCATTAGGGGTGCACTAACGCAACATCACACTCCACTTTCACAAGGCTAGGGGATGGAACGCTACGTGTTCAAGAAGCCGGAAAAGATGCTCTAATGGAAACTGGAGAAACTAGATCTACACGTAGGATTGCTGCCGGCACATTTAGACTTGTAAGAGTTATTAAGTTAGCAAAGTTCTGATGTGTGAAGAACGTGTGCGTACTTTGATGATGTCGTTCATGAGGTTACACTGGAATACCCAGTCTAGCTTCACTCTTTCGTCCTGCAGGACATCCTGTGAAAACAAAAATCAGCCAAAATTTTCGGAGGACTGGTAGAACATGCAAATGGTTTAACATTATGTTGAATCATTCGTCTCAGGTGGGCTGGGAAGTACATTAAATCATCAACCATTAGCAGGAACAGTTAATGTTAATCACATAACTCAAAATCAATAACATATATATAACATTTATCAACTTCTCCGACAGGGTTGTCAATACTGAATACTGTGCAATTTTACTAGATACTCGTATACTTCGTACAGCAAGTGTTCTAATTTTTTAGTTCCCTTTTCACTGTTTTTGAAATTGGAATCTGATCCTACTTCAGCTTGCGGTATGGTTTCCTCTGGCAACGTGGTTCAGTCCTCACATAGTTTATGAACAGTAATGTTGCGAGTTTAGTCCTTACCATAAGGCTGCCTTTGGGACAGTATTCCGTCAGGATCATGGTGGGGTTATCGAAGTGTTCCCTGCACACTCCTACGAACCTCACCAGATGATCGTGGCTGTTGCTCAAGTCTCTCATCTGCATCAACAAAACACAATCATCGTCATAACCCAGTGTCAACGGTTTCGTAGTATACATCCTAATTACCTACAAGAGCTGTGGGGAAGAAAAACCCTACATGTACATGGGCTGGGAGGGGGACATTCTTTATTATCTATTAAGCACCAATAATCGTAAAAGCAATAGACGGCTGTGGATGGAAAGAAATTTTGAAACTTTTCAAGCTGAAACTAACGGTTTGCTATCTACATAAATTGGATGGCTACGACACAAAAAACAATACGCGACACAACACCACAGTGTTTAATGTAAGGTTTGATTACCTCTTTTAACTCGAGAACAATCTCCCGGTCGCTGATCTGCACCACGCCGGTGTAGCACGTCTTCTTGATCCGAACTCTCTGCCACTGCGTGTTGCCTGTCGCCTGGGAGAAAATATTATCAGAGACAAAACATGATCAGCATTTCACACAGCTACAGCAGCAATAGTACATCTCAAACAGTCTATTGTACAACTCTATCTTGGTAGCAACATATATTGCTAACAGCAATATTTCAATTTAGGCCATTCCCAACAGAGCACGGGCTCAAAATGGCCTCAGAAGTTAGGCGAGGGGGGAGGCATGAGCTTGAAGTGTGAAACAAACTACCGGGTGGGACATCGGTTTGGAAATGTAACTAGAAAAACAAGGTATATTTCGATACAAGTGTCCAGGTATCAAGACCTGGTGACAAGCAACATCAATATTGCTGCGCAAATCAATTTTCTTTGATTCAATAAAACATTACGATGGAAAATATATGGAAATCTCCAACCCTAACGCAGTATTTGGCTCGATCTCTTACCTCATCTGCTACTTTACAGTACCCAGTATCTGCGAACTGTTGGGACTGGATCTGTCCGTCCATCAGGGATCTATATGTCAAAACAAAAACTGATATTTCCTCCGTCTTTTATAAAGAAAAGCTCCTGGACTAGGTGCTAAGAAGTTTACTATTCATACAAGGACCTAATGTGTATATAAGGCCATACGATTTCTTATGTTAAATTTGTATGAATCCTTATGACAGCGTCCACAACATACTGCCTGACATGTGAAAGTCGCTTGGCAGCGTTGTTGATATCACTGCCTGATGAAACGACCAACCAAGTTAGTTGGAAACTTTGTCACAGTGGCTCATAATAACATTTCTCAATAATGGACAGCAAACGGGAAAGTACCCAAAACCGCACGTAAAGTTACAAGTCGTGTTTTGTCGTGTTTCAATACCCCATTTCTTCAAACCGAAAATGCTGGTGTACATACAGGTTGGAGTCCCTCCGCGGCAAGTCACGGGAGCGTTCGTCAAGGAGCACCATGCTCGGACCAGGTCGCATTCTCCCCCCGCAGAAAATGATGTTGTCCTTCGGTATGATGAGCATCCGCCGAGCCCTGTCGAGCTCTTGATCATTTCTTCTATTCCTGTACGTAGAACAAAACGGAAATGAGAACACATTCAATTTGACACATGATGTGGACCAGGTCATTTACACCAGAGCTTATAAACTTTCTCTTAACCTACTCTGGCAGTACAGACTACACGGATCCTTCGGCCCGCTCCTGACGTCAGATGTCACCTGTCGAAATGGGGTGGAGAAGGGGCTGTACTAATCACCTCTATGGAGCTCCATGGAGGCGATTAGTACAGCCCCTATTGATGGGGTTGGTCAGAATATATATATGACATATTATACCAGTGACGTTCCAAAAATCGGTTTTCCTTGGATCATAATTCTAGAAGGAATTGAACTGAAATTGCAAACTTCCATGTACCGACAGAAATAATAGCTACATTTTTTTTTACCAAACTATCGCGCGAGGGTCACATGGCCCTCACGCGCAGGAGATTACGGACATTGCAGACAGGTCTAATAACGTGGCGACTCCTAAAAGCTTTTACAGCGTACAGACTGTTACTCGCACCAAATATACAACAGTGACGCGTGAATGCTTGGCATATCTTTATCAGCACAGGTATATGATAGATTCCCACTCTCTCTTTTGTCGTTTTATGAAGGGGTGGATAACTTGAAATATAAGGAATGTAGCAATGGAGTTTAAGTCTTAGATTGACCGTGCGTCTCACAAATATGGTGAATGCTGATTCCCGGAGAAAACATGGTGGTACAGTTCTACAGATGGTATCATGCACAGCATTTTATGTGCAAGTCATAGACTACTTGGAAAATTTGAACTGTACAGACAGCTGCATTGCATGTGATTTATGTTAGCGTTCTTTACTGCGTGCTCATTTGTGCCAGAGAAATGTGGACCAGACAAATTACAAGTGCTGCCAGAACGACACAGCCCCACCGTTCATTTCTAAGATGTATATACGTTTTACGGGTAGGATCTCTAAAAGCCAGGTTTCATTGCCCAAACGAAATTGCACTCAAATGTGCTTGTCGGCGTCCAAAGTGCTTTTACCATGCACCCTTGATATTACAGCGGACCAAGGGAATGTAAAATGGACCATTGGCTCGAACATAACGCCCACAGTTGAATAAAATAGCACTCTGTGTGCGCTGCCCATTGCCCTGTCACCTCTAGCTTGTAAATGCATTGCTTGGTCAAGACGTCATCGCGTAATTGGAACGGGCTGAGATCTAGAGGCATCGTTATATTAACTCCCCCGGAAGAATGTTGTATCTAACTCTAGTATGTTTTAAGGTTTCCATGCTGACATTTTTAAAGAGCTAGAAACGTCTTTGATATGTTTTACTTTCACAATGATCTGATGTACATTTACAGTTAATGCCCTTTTCCATTCCTGGTCATACGCCAATTTCAGTATCTTTCTTTGCCATTCTCCCGTGTCAGGCCCTACGCTAGAGTATCTAAATCAATCGCCCCGGCGTACCGGTCTGCCATCCACCCTTCTCCTGCTTTATTTGGACACTCCCCTCCCTGTTGTTGTAAGGAAAGTTGCCAGCCAATCACGTAACCGCTCAAGGGTAAGCTAAGACGTGATTGGCTGTGACCTTTCCCTCCAAGGGGGTAGGTGATTGGCTGACGGCTGGCCATGGCTAACGAGAAGGATAGATCGCAGGCCGTTGCCTGAGATGCACAAGCAGCGCGTCTGGCATGAGAGCGAGCCCCTTTTTACCACAAAGGCACGTAATTCATTTGTTAGCATCTTTCACCGCCGGGTTGCCGCCGTATTCTAGTTACGCCTGGATGAGATAAGATTAACAGGAGTCTTTCGTCTGCCTTGTAACGACGCTGCCGGACTCCCATTAGATTACGAGGTTTCATCAAGTCTTCAATCAATTTTCTTCATTCTCTTTCCAAGTCCTGATGACAGTTGCCTGTCTGTCTGTCCGCAAAGTTCTTACATACCAGAAAGTGTATGCGTGTGCATGTTCTTAAGAAAATAGACAAAGCTACCCGCTATACTGTTCCATTCTGGAAATGAAAGGTGCAAGTTGTGGATTTCTTCGTTTATTTGCTTCGTTTCCGCTCGCACGGTTTTGTTTTGTTTTGTTTTGTTTTGTTTTGTTTAGAAACCAACGGAGCCTAGTTTACCTTGAGGCAGGGTCAAACAACCTTTTCAACTCTCTCTAGACAGTTCACACTCATCAGTCACTGTCAGTTCTAGAGTCATCTTTGGAAAAGCAGTGTAGCGTTGAGAATATGTGTGCATAGTTACGTTAAAGTTTTTGTATTATACTGCTATAACCACATGTGACCACATATACAATATACTATATGTATTCTTTCTCTGAAAGGGGTTCATTTAGGAGCCAAATGCACCAGACATTAAGTTAACGTTCCTACCATCACAGTCGAGCGTGGGGCATAGCTATATAGAGTTTACCTTGAACTTGCCTGGATTGTTTTTAAATTCAAGGTGAAGTGGATGTCGATATATATCTTCGACACAATACTTACATGCACAACCTGGTATGATAGGGAATACGTCACTGGTGGAAATATCAAAGCAGACTTTCCCTTATCTAAAGTACACTGGGAAAAGGCAACGACAGTTTGCCATGGTATATTGATGGTGTTACAGCAAGGGCACCGATGGTCAGTGCACTCTCATTGGAAATTCTTACGTCTCATAGCAGATGGATGTATTTATGCTCGGGTGTTTTGGCCAGAGGCCAAATGTACGATTTCTTCCGTGGTGTGACTTGGACCCCTTTTCATTCAAGACGTAATTCGTAGCGATCGTTTTGTTCTCACTCGAGATGCTGTGTGCGGTCCTCGTGGAGTTTTGGTTATCGGTGTACACCACTACATCCGTCAACCAGCCTGAGGGCAGACAGTGCCATTACCTTTGGCCATAGAAACCTATGGTTAAATACGCTGAAACAAGTCCTCATGAACGTACTCTCTCGCATTTTAATCTCAAAAATTCTTCTGCACCAGATGCCACAAGCGTCTGCCCCCAAATAGGAAAAGAAAGCACGGGGTTGACCGGCGAAAACTCTGATAACAGCTGACAACAGTTAACAACCCCTACTTTTCCGATGTATCCCTCCGCCCTAGGTAGGAAAAAACGCATCACTCTGGTCTCTAATTATGCTCACTGAACTGATGAAATGAACAAAATATTACCAAAGTAGGAAAGGTTAGACCCTACCCATTCCTTCCAGCACAAAAGTCTCCAAAATGGACCGAAATTTTCAAGAGAAAAAAGTATTTTCAAAGATATTTAATAACTAGGAACTACAATCTCAACGCAATAGTGACGTCTGCCCATCACCCACCGTGTATTACATCAGGCGTAATTGCCCTCCTGGTACCGGTGTAACATGAATCCGTGGATCCGTGTTCGCCAATTAAAAAAGCTGCAGCAAGCGCCACAATCTTCATTCGCTGAAGGCCATAACCGACATGTCTGAACATAAGTCCCTGTTATCTTCCTAACTCTCAGGGCCATGGATAATGAAGTGTCGGATCAGTTCTTAAGTACCTGAGACGCTCGGCAGGGTCACAATCGGAAATTGCTAGATAAGAACCTGAAGTCCTCTACAAGCCCACGATACACGGGCAGGCAAATACACTTAGACATGCTATTCAAGTACTGATGGGGGGGGGGGCATATATGATAGACTTGGTGCAGTAATCAGCTCCTACAAACTTTTGATGACTGTAAAAAATGAATTTGATTTTCTGCTATAAGTTACTTTCTTTGAAAGGAGACGTTGAGATATGTTTCGTCTATGATGTGTTTTATGTTCTTCTGGTAAGGAAATATTCATTTTCAGAGAATGTTTAATATCTTTTGTATTTGCTAAGGCAAACGACGCTCCTCGACAAAGATCCTTTTCAAAAAAGTATTGCCTAAGGACAGCAATTAAATACTCGCCAGTTTCACACTACAGTTTGTTAAAGCTGCAGTCAGGCAGCTTGACGAAAAGTACAGATAGACCAGACACATCCTCTGTGAAATTGGGCTAGACGGATAGACCCGCTCGGATTTAGCAGGTTTCACCACAGGAAATTAACTTCTGGTATCAGTTATTCCATTTCTTTCGGCAAATTCATATCGTTCTCTGGTGCAATCAGTCTCTGTCACGACCAGGGAGCAGTAGGGAATTGCATGCGGTGTTTCTAAGGAGAATTCCAAAAATGCCAAAGTTGAACACTGAAGTTGATTCTTGTACAGGCAAAGTGCTTGGTTCCTGTTATACATTATAATCTGTGCCCAATTACTTCATATAAATTATTCATGTCATTATTAAAAGCTGTCAAAGAAAACGTTCAAAACGAGATCAAAGTCCCCAAGCTTTCTCAAACTTTGTGTTTAAAATTCTCCTCGAACGTTCTGTCAGCTTGATGCCCGAGGCTATACTGCTATGTTCGGAGATTGCTTTCGTGCCTTGCAGCAATATAGCTATAGGAATGGAGAACTTATTTCTAGAAACACCACAAACTGCCAAATAATACCAGGCTGCTATCCTTTGGACCATTTTTATATCATTGCGATAACTATAAACGTGTTATCTTCGCGAGTGATTACTCCCGGATAATTCATTTATACTAATGAAATAAACCACACTCTGACATCATCAATCTTCTTTAATGGGCCCTGTTTCTGATAGTCTTGGTATCGTGTCGTGTACACAATCTGTGGTACTAAATATAGTATTCTACTATGTCATTCATGTTCAATAACATCAACCTGGGTTTGCCAGACCTATAAATCTGAAGAAAAACGAAGATAATGCAGCTGTGATATGTTTCAACCATTGCAATACACAGTTGATGACGATGATGCTATTTACAAAGTAGTAAGTATTGAAGAAATGAAACGTTCATCTCCAGTTAATTGATGAAGGCGCCATGACAGATCGTCACCGCTCTCGGAAATCTTTCAATACTGCGGAGACATGCTGGCGATGCTAAGGGCAGCCTATTACTTTTTCACTTTGATCTTCAAGCCGTTAATCCCTGCTCTTTCAGCGCCGCCTGTGTGCAAAGCCGCTGTGGAAAGGCCGTAAAATGTCAGGCTTTACGCCCAAGTCTAAATTACAGGCGTGAGTTGTGTGAGGTTTGGCACGAACTTTTTCTTCACAGTTCAGTGATCTCATCTTTCACTCTGGGCTGCTCTAAGTCCTGCCGTTCAAGCTGTCACTGCACTGATCGCAGGGTTTAGGTCTGACAATGCCTATATGAAGCAGCCGTCCACAACAGTCCATACTTTTCCTATTGTAGTTGTGCGTTCAACTACTTGTTTGTCCATCTTCTGCTGATGCTGTGCTGCCCAGTGCAATTCAAGCAGTCACAATACTGATGGTACGGCTAACGACGTTACTTTATGCCTTTTTATACAGTTTAAATACCTGAAATAGGCGTCCACAAGCTACACTGCCTTTCCTCCTACAAGAATCATGTTTTAAGTTGACTTTGACTTTGAAAGTATTGTGCCTTTTATGAACGAACTGTCCAGCTATCTAAAGTTGAAAGAAACTTGCTAAAAACTACATTTAAGTATTCCCTTCTTATATGTTGACACAAAACAGCAACATTGCGCATTGCTTTCAATTGATTGTATCGAGATTACGTGGTACCAGAGTGTAGAAATATTTTCGTTGCACGAAGTGTATGCTATTCAAGCCCCTGGTTTTATAAGGGTTTACTTCTGTACAGATTAAGGAGGAACTGCACAATTTCTTACGGTAAAAGAACTGCTGTGCTGTGTTTTTATTTTTTCCTCGGTGTCTAAATACCGACGCCATCCAGGCTTGATGTAAATGTACATGTCTGCTATGTTGGTATACGAATTGAGAATATACTCACCACCAAACGTAAGTCAGGAAGGACCCCACCAACAACAGTAGTACAGCAATAAGGCTGTACAGAAGGATGTTTTCGAGAGGTTTGTCTACTAGGAGAAAGAAAAAAGAAAGCGTCAATATTAAACCTTTTGACTCTATGCATGCCAAAGCGCCAATGCTATGTCGTATGTATGTGTATATAAGCACATTCTGACTATTTAGTGAAAGAATAGAGATATCATATTGCTCCCCATACAAAAGATACTTACTATACATAACAGACGCAACAGGTCGATTTTATAAATCGACCTGTTGATTCTTATGATTTTGTATCTTCATTTGTAAATATCAAGTATATACATGTAGGTATCATAACCATTAGGTACATACATATGACATTGCAAAAAAGAGCTATACACCAGATAAACATAGTGACCATAGCAGAACATAAAATATTAAAACGGAAGTTCTAATGAAGTAATAAGGAAAACCCAAACAATTTTTCGGTAGATAGTCTTAGCAACGTTACTTTCATAACATTACATTTTAGTACGTTGACGAAGGTTAGACATCCAGGTAAACAGATTTTAAGACAAATCAAACTCTACTACTGCATAAGATTAAATGGATAATTTATTCATCAGTAGAGTTTGATTTGTCTTTGATATTTTTAGCTTCTTGAGTTATACAACTAAACAACAAACAAACAAACACCACTACACTTTTAGTCAAGTGATACAATATTGGTTAAAGTTCCAACTGCGCCCCCCAGAGAATACAGTGGAAATTAAACAACAATTGTTGATGCTAAACTCAAATATATGTATTGGGGGAAAACCATTTTACTCAGCCACTTTTTGTAACAAGGGAGTGTTGTTTGTCAATGATATTCTGGATTGTGAGAATAGAGTGTTACCATTCGAAGACTTTGCACTAAAATTTGGTAATGTGTGTTCTGAATTTACATATAATCAATTGATTTCAGCTATTCCAATTCAATGGAAACAGTTGTTGAGACAGACAAACACACCCTTGAGAGTTTGCATCCCGGTCTGTAGAAATATTACATGGCTCGAAAAGAGAAAGATTAATAAAGCACTATACTTCTTCTTTATGTGCGACAATAGATCATGGGAGCCTCCTTACAAGATCCAATCATCTTGGGAAGAATATTTTAACATTCCAATACATTGGAAACGGGTATATAGTCTAATATATAAAACTTCTATAGATTCAAGGACACGTATGTTTCAATATAAATTATTATACAAATTTTTAACCTCAAATAAAACATTGTATACTTGGGGATTAATTGATTCCCCTATATGTGATCATTGTAAGGAGGAAGAGGAGACGGTGGTCCATTTGTTTTGGAACTGCCCATATGTAATTGAATTTTGGAAACAGGTGGACCACTGGTACTCAAGTCATACTGGAATGAATCTACAGCTGACCGCTTTCAATGTTATGTTTGGGGATTTAACCGACAATTGTTCAATATTGTCTAACTTAATAATTATTCTGTTGACTAAAATTTACATCTTTAGAAATCGCCAATGCCCTCTTAAACTATCCTCCTTTATATCTTTTGTAGCATATTTTTGCAAATTGGAGTTTATAATTGCAAATAGAGGGGGGAAAATACACAAACATATGGGCAAGTGGGGAAAGTTACACCTTAAATTTTGTTCTTAAATTGTTCTTTTTGACTCGACTAAACTTTCATTTACTATGTGTTACAGTTTTCTTTATGTTTAGATTGAGATGAATAAGTATAAATGAATTGGTTTCTGGTATGAGTTTGTTTCTGTTCTTGTAAAACCTGTGCCATGCAAGTCTGTGTATTGTACTTGTTTTTGTTTTTGAAAACCTAATAAAAATAACGTGGAAAAAAAAAACACCACTACATCCTTACAAACATTACCACACACATTTCGTTTCGCGTATCACAATCATGGTAATCTTACAGTCAGACGACACAACATTATTCCTACTCCCTTGGGCACTATTTTAGCACCAAATTTGTATCATTCACAAGGTTAGGCAGCTTCATGGAGGAAAGGGTTAATGAGATATCTACTGTAGGCTACCAGAATGGACATTTGATACAGACGGGCCATAACGTAATTTGGTACAGACATAGTTCAGGAAGCGGGGAAATCTCATTTCGCGTGGCCACCAGCAGATAGAGCTGTATAGGTACGGAAAAAGATGGGTTTAAATGAAGTTCAGGGTCAGACGTTGATTAGACAACAGAACTTGTTCGGCGCCATCGCGATTTGTTAAAGGCTGTTCTGTGGAATGTTCTTGGGGTTGTGAGTGCCGGTATAGTCTTGGAAAAATCAGCTGTCTATATGACTGACTAAGAAATGCAGACATACTTAAGATATGTTTGGCGAAGAGGGTGAATATTGGCATTATTATATGTATTAAACAGGACGCCTCTTTCTTTGCTATAAGATGCAACGCATGGCAAGTTCTATCAACAGTTTTAAGGGACGAATCTGTTCATCTGCAGCCTCAACGAGTACCGCTACTTTCCATTCTCCGGTCGTATCCGCAAGAACACTGCTGGCACCAGGTGTTTTGATTTATCGTCAAAAAATTGAGTGCCTGTGTGTCTCCAGAGTGGTTACTGAAGTGAACACGTTGTAAAATGAGATGGGCGAACCAGAACAATGGAGCCAATTTTCGAGAAATCCGAATTCCGCTCATAGTGCTGTGTTCATCCATATGGGACGTTCAACTCCTGCAGTCTTTCCTTGAAACTGCGACCTTTCAATAGAACGCCATGGGTGGAACCTCTTCAGAATCCTAAGCCAATTGACGGACGTTTGGCGAAGAAATATAACTCAAGAAGCTATGGTGTGTTGTTATCAGATTTGATATGTTCTTAGGTCGTGATCTAAAGGCTTAATTAAATTTTTGACTGATAGTAATGTTTGGACATGCTATGGTCACGATGTGTGATGAGTGGAGTGGATAGCTTTTGTTTCCCGTGTTTTTTTATTTATCTTTCGTTAGCATTAGTTACGTTTGTGAACATGTGCTCTTTAAATATCTTAGTTCTGAAGCAAGTCTCCCTTTTCTTTCCCCACGTTGCACCCCTTTCCTAAATTCCTGTCTCCAAAGTATCCTCTTTGTTTCCTGTAAGCTTTTTTTCTTGTGTTGGTGTTCATGTTCGAGACATGAAAATCACATCTTTCAAACGCAGCTGGGGGCGTGCTGATGTATATTTGGATGCTAAATTGGTTCCCCTCTCCGGATCATTACCAAATGATGAACAGGTGTGTTCGCATATAAATAGGCGACGCAGGAAATGATTTTACTTCCAGCCAGATGCATGCACATTTAGCAGGGAGCATGATGAACTGAACAACGTGTCGAAGAACATTTTTTTTTACTTCTATCGATTTGTTTTGCCTTGTCATCTTACTGTACTTTGGCACGAGAGAAGTAATTGCAGCCTTTCAGCAAGCCTTTCTCTGCGGGAGAGGTATTACATTGGATACTCCGGGGTTCTGCCTAAAGAGAGGCAGTGAGGAATCATTCTGGCTCAGCCACTCTTTCAGTAATAGCATACTTTATACATTTCTTTCTCATTGAAAATCAACCTTACACAAAAAGTTTGAAAATTTCGGTTCATCCAAAAATTTCCCTCAATTATATGTCCGCTGTTTTTTTTTAAACTAGCCCTGTGTCCTATCATTGCTGTTATTGAATAGCGTGTTTATTGCGCTTTGAAATGAAATCTCATCTTTAATGACCACGCTTTTCGTAATTTTGTGTTGAGTTGCCACAAAAGTGTAAAAAAAATTCTGCCTGGCAATGTCCAACTCAGTATTGACATGGAAATTGTATATACTATGTATATATATATCAATGGTTTATTTCAATAACTTTGTCACAAATTAAACATTGCAGCCAAAATGGTTGAATTGCGTCGGGACATACAATTACTATTCGGATACCTTCACAAGCCTCTGTTGCAGCAACACCGTTGGACCCTCGCAGACCGCAGGGCTCCGGGTTAGGGACTTTGTTACCCGGCCAGTCCATGACCTTGTCCTGACCGGCGATTTTGATCAGCGACTTTGTAAAACCCATATAATCCCAGAAAGGCTGAAAGATAATCACCATATGTTAATGTCATTAAATTACCAACACGCTGAAGACTAAATATACAGGGGATAAGGCAATAGGAAATGTTTTTATAACGTGTAGTATGATTCTATTCTCATTTTCAGTTTCACTCGCAGCATCTTTGTCACCGTCACTCCAGCGTACGTACGTTGCCATGATTTGTGTCAAGGCCACGAGTATAGCGCACCACGCCACCTTACAGATTGTTCACTCTATGGGAGAGTCTGCAAGACCTCTGCAACCTCTCCATTCGTTGTTGAATGAAATAGTTTGCACATGTGAAGAATGGAAAATTGTCCATAGATGGGTGTGTATGTTTGTGTGTGTGTGTGTGTGTGTGTGTTTGTGTGTGTGAGTGTGTGTGTGACTGTGTGTGTGAGTGTGTGTGTGTGTGTGTGTATGTATGTGCGCGCGTGCGTGCGCGTGTGTGTGTGTCTGTCTGTCTATGTCTGTCTATGTCTCTCTTCTCTCTCTGTATGTATATGATGACCCCTTACCTTAAATTCCCCAGAAACCTTGTCCATCTCGACAATAGTGTAATCAGTGTCCCTGTCCCCTAGCTCGTCAATACTGATGTTGTCTTTTCCAGCACCTGCAACATAACGAGAAAATAACAGTGTACAATTACGTTCATTGATAATGCTTATTTCACCGAACACAGGGATGTATGACATAATGTAGAAACCAGATGAAAAATCAGGGGAGATAATTAGGTGATAATTGCCACTAAATTAAACATACTCTAAAAACACGCAGAGCAGCAGACGGCAAATTCCCTGCTGTGTACATCCATTTCAACGGTATATGTACGGGTAGTTATCAAAGCCCTGCATATCCCAGAGTTGCAATGCCATATTCAGGACTGGGCACCACGTGCGTAGGTTAGAAGTCCCCTGGTTACCTAGAAATCTAGAATTTCCTGAGGATGTGTGTGGCATTTTCCGACCCGGAAACTCGGCTTTTCATAGAGTGATAATAGCGTAGACCCATGCTGTATACCATCACTAGTCATTTAGGAAATCTATTATGTGTCAGTAGTCAGGCATATGTAACGTATTGCAGTTGCTTACCCTTGGCTTAAACATCCCAAATAATCACAAATGCTCGTTTATTTTTCAAAAATATGTTCCTATCATCACGGAAACAGATGCCCCCTGCGGTTCTTTGATAGTTTCTGGGTTAATATAGTATGCACTAATATTAAAAATATAATAAAAATAAGAAAAGGGGTGGATTAGAGAGGGATCGCTGCAGCATATACGCAACATTGTATTTAACAACTATTTGTTGTATGTTTGAACTTTTTGAATATGAACTGCAGTACTGTAGAACATGTTTGTCGGTTCAGTCGTTCTTTAACGATGGTTGAAGTTCATCCACAACAGTTCAAGTACGTCCAAATGCGTTCGTTTGTGCTGGCAGTTGTACTCTTCGAGCATTTGGTTTATTCTTGGCGTGTGTTAGGCATTTTTATCGGGCTATCTTTTTTTAACTTTTTTTTTACACCAGTCAGCTTAGATGGCAAATGGTAACTGTCAGGCAAATGGATACTGCCTGGCTAATTTGATACTGTCTTTGCAACCACCCAAATATCTGCTTGGAGATTAGGAAGTTATACTTCATGATTTGTTTCATGATGACTTCTAGTAACAAATGCATTTTCATACTTTTCGTAAATTCACAACGACAGGCAGAACTTTTTCCACCCACGCCTTTCAACCTAACGTCCGTCTACCACTGGATGCGTTTATCAGGGCATAATATGGGCATCAGTCATTGACACTGTTCATGTTTTATGGCCATTTTTCTTTCCATACCAATTGGAGTCAATTTCCATGTAATAAATGTACGTAATATGAACGTAATACGAATGCTTCCGACCTTTTCATCTGGTATTTGCATCCGTTTTGGGGCTGTCTGTGACATTTGTGTTATCGCGGTATCAATGACGTCGGAAGCCTTTTGTTAGAGCTTTCACCCTGAGAAAGGATGGGGGTTTTAAAGTACCGTGGCGTCTGATATATAGCTCCGTGGCCAGAGGTAGCCCAGGCGTAAAGTGTACGTCCCAAGGAACGTCGGTTATTTCATTGCTTGCACAGACAAAGTTTGCGCGAATACGTGATAACACTAGCAAGCACGGCCAATATCAGCAAGCGAATGTTATATATGCCCTAGAGGAAGTCACCAACAAGACTATTTGAAAAGAGGCGATATTTGGGGCCCTTTGGATCTTACGAAAGATATCGCTATTGTATAGTAAGTACCTTGTAGAAGGGACATGCGTTTATTTGGTAATCCCAAGCGCTACAGTAATATCAGGTTAACTGAGGCCTGGGGCTGCACTCTTAGGCATTACTTTTGCTTACCCGTTTCATACCAATTCTATGGGCGAAAATAGGAGAAACCTCAGTGGTGTTCAACATTGTTTGCAAGAGTCCCCTGTACACGACTACAATGTGCTTGTCTGTTCGCTTACATCCCTCTGAAACTCCGGTAAGTACTTTTGCGATGGATGTGCTCTTAACCTATTCTCACCAGCATCTGCCGCGTTCAGCTAGCAGCTGGAGGCTATTATATTCTTCAGCGTTGTGAGCTTTTACCCTCGCTTTTAGTTGGTGATTTTGCCTTCCTGGATTCAATGAGCAGCCCTAGGACATGCCAGGGGCTTCAGTAAAATTTGATAGGAGAATGTTAGACCTGGTCCTACTCTGTGTGGGCCGGGCAACAGTCTAGATTCCAGGTCTAAGGTTAAAACTTTTGATCCATTACGTGCACAAGGTAAATCTTCTCACCTAGAGCTTTAGCTTTCGACCAGTTCCTCTGGTCTTCCTAGGTAGATTCCAGGTCATATGTTCTGCATTCTAACAAAGCAAATGTATGTAAGTGGCTTCGTTTATCATTCGCTGACGTTGTTCCAGCCAGACTTACCCTGAAACGTGCGGTTCCACATCCTCTGTAGGATGGGCGAGCCGTTCTGTTTGAGGTCGGCCGGGTCCACCCCCGCGGCGATGGTCTCGTTCAGCGCCGTGGCGAACAGCACCATGGAGTCGTGATAGGCCGTGACGTAGTGGTTTTCCTGCAAGGAGGGAGGGGGGAAATCATCGTTTTACATGCTCACCAACCGTGAAGGTTACCACTTACCACCAACTTGAGAAAAGGTGCTAAAAGGCACGGAGGAAGCAGAATAATAGCAAACATGGAAAATGTATAAAACTTGAATTATCTTCCAAGGATGGAGAGATGGGGCCCAGCATTAGGTAAAAAAAGTAAGATATGTGCAAGGTTTATTGGTCTTATTGCCGAGGCACCTCTGTAGTCGTATCTTCCAAGCACATGTTGCAAGACGTTATCGTATCGTTTTTCATGCTCCCCATTTCCCAAGAATGTCGTTTGTTCCAGAAATTTGCTAAGATTAACACTATAGTACAGTCTAGGGAGAATGGCGTGCTTTATTAGAACCTTGGAGATCGAGCAACAAGAAAATGCAGTACTATCATGAAAGTTCATCTGTGTTGGTAGTTACATGTTGAAAGTTAAAACTTTTGATCCAACACAAAGAAATCTCTTACCTAGAGCTTTTGAAGTCACGTGATAGTATCATGAGTGCAGACGTTAGTGTGTTTATACATGTTGCTATCATACGGACTGAATGATTGTCAGCTACAAGTTTTGCATACTTGTGCGTCTTTAATCTCTACCCAAACTTTTCTTGGTATCATTGCATCATCCTTGAAGGACCCCGCGCTAACTTCCTTAGTGCTTCCTTTGTCTACCAGGCTAAAAGCGAATGTGACAAAATGTCCCTTGAGAAATTCTCCAAGCTGTTGACGTGTGCACCCCAGGTTCGCGAAAATGGATAAGACCTAAGGGCACCTTTTAAACCATCTATCGCTCTCCGGTTTTACGTGAGGCGTTTATCTTTCTGTCTGGAAGTTAGCTCACTCGGGACCGGATTCACCAACATTAGACAGGAACACCCGGGGCGACCTTTTAATGCGCCTAGTATGTACAATACTCCAGATGATATCTGGATAAACTTTTATATCGATCATAACTACAACGCAAACTGCATTTCATGACAGTTCTTATAGCATATATAAAACGTGCCCAGTAGTTTTGTAAAAGATATGTCAGATCTGTCCGTGACAACAAAATTTTGACGGTTGGCAGTTTTTATCTTTTGCAGACTTATATTAATCTCAGATTTATCATCAAGTAAACTCCGGGTGACTTTAAGATGTGCGCGCATGATGGAGTCAACTTTAGAAATCGATAGCATCGCAAAATTTCTTGGAAAAATATCTTTCCTCCAAGCGCAAAGGATCTAGAAATATCAAAGGAAAGATACATCACAGAACCTTTCTTTGTGACCCTTTTTGTGTCAAGGTAAAAGGGCTTATCTGTGGCGAGACATCTTATACGTCTTTGTCAGTGTTCTCAGCAGTCAATGGAGTTTCCGCATCGCTGTCAAGATGCCATCGCTGACAACACGTAGAGATATAGTCACCGCCATTTACCATCAAACCGATCAATCAGACGATGCCTTTATCCCGTACATCCATCCATCCATTACCGCCTGCTGCACAACCACAGTAGTCGTGCCTTCACAACAAATCCCCGCAAAGGCCATACCAAAAAAAATCTCATATCTGCTCCCAGCACATCTGTTTAGATCATTCGCCATACGCGTGATATCAAAAGGGGTAGAATAACCATTAGCACATCTGATCCCATCCATTGATATTGGTCAGGATATTTCCTGTGAACTCAGCCCGCCCCCCTCCCACGGCGATCCTCAAAATGCCAGTGACAAGACCGGCTATATTTTGTAGCTCGAGCTCTGCAGGAAAGGTCGCGAGATCCTAGAAGACGAATGTTCTGGCTTTTGGAAATCTCCGGAGCGAAGAAAATTGCAAGACGTCTGTCTCTGACTTTATCAACGGATCAGTGCGCAGAGGTGGCACCACGTCCGTCCTGGTGGGGTGACAATATTTGTGACATAGATGATTTATCAAAGTCGTTCGCACGATGATGCTGTAGTGTTGGTTATGATTTCCCCCGGCTAGGGTTGTGTAATTAGACAGTTCGAAAGGCTTTTATTCTGACGTCAAAAGTAGTGGGAGACGAATCGTATTTTGTGTCTAACTGTTCCTATGACGATTACGATTAAAGGGAGTTGTTTTAAGAACTTCAGCTGCCACCAAAATACATCTCCACATTCACAGACGAAAGAAAAAAACTAGACGCCTCCTAGAATCACAGAACCCACGCACTACGGAAAAGGTGGAGTCTTCCGCCTTCTACTGCTTCTAGAAAAGAAGTTCAACCCAAGTTTTATTAGTATTATAATTAGAGCATTAGCATTAGAAATCACAGAAGCCACATTGTCGTTGATGTTCAATAATTGTATCTTGTTATTTACAACTAGCCTCTAAGGAAGAATTCGCAATAGACCTAACATATCTTTGTTTCCTTATATATAGATATGTGTAGTATAGTGCATTCACGTCCTCGACTTCCTTGTCAAACTTGGAAAGACAAATTCCGTTTCCACTCGGAGTAACGTGTTGAACTTCCCATTTTCTGTTTCCGTCACATAAATAACTACGGGACGGTGAAAGAGGTTAAGTGATCGTGTGCCTGTAGACGACATTAGTAAGAGAGGCTCGGGCAGATGCGTACAGCGTATGTATAACTACGTTTGATGAAGTGTGATCTTCAATCATTCGCATCAATGCCCCAAACGCTTTCCTCTTTGCATGATACATGTGCAGGTATATGCCAGAGTTAGATACTACAAAACACTCTTCTTTATTACCACTGCAGTCGCCAAATACGTCTTTTGAAACTAAAAAGAAATGTGAATCCTCCTTCACCTCTGTCAGTTCAGAGAACATTTTTCCTGTGTCCCATGACACCTTTTACAGTATTCTGACAGTCTGTTCCCCACAACACGTCCAAATGACTTTCAAGGGCCATCGTGTAGCAGGTCTTACCACAAACTATGCCTGCCTGTGGCTGGGCGATAACACAGCGCCGAATGTACCAGACACCATCTGTAACTAGTAGCAATCAGCCTGTATTTGAAGCGGTAAACCGGCTTAGGGACTTGCCTGATAGCACCTCAATTGATTTTACTACGATAATGTATTATTACTTGACATTTTATCGCTTTGATTCGCACCTCATCATACGGCGTAGTCAGAATGAATTTATTTTCTTTTGCACCGACTCAACATGGAATTTTAAAGTAAATAGAGTGTTGAACGATACTGTGAGCACCTCAATAACCACGAAAGTTGCTTTCTAAATGGTACCCGCATCCTCTGGCCATTATCTAAGTCCAGAAACGATTATCAGTGTATTGTTTAGAATATTTTCACGTCAATAGTCTATGCAATGAATCTTTTTTTAACGAAGGTGGTTATGTTTTCTGTAGCATGTGTGTGTATTTGTGCACAGCATAACTTGGGGAGTTGTATACTAACCCTTACTATATTTAGTATTTGAATTAGCAAAACAAAGGACAAGTTCATTTTTTATTGTCCCCTACCACCCTTTAATGGTAATGCAGCAGATATCAGTTTTAAATTTTGTATCTCATACATGTTACAATCATGACTTTCGATTGGCAGATAGCTCGTGGTCTACGAATGAAGTGGATGTTTGGGTTCCGTATCTGTTTCTGTTTTAACTACAGGTTCCACAAACTGTATACATCGATATGTACAAACTAAAATGACTGAACCTACCTTAACTCCTCTTTCCTCTAGCTTCTTGACGAACTCTCCGAATTCTAAGGTTGCCGGTTTTCGCAGAGTGATCGCGATGACGGAACGAAACGCCTCAATCAGGTCTTTCTCGTCAGAAGAAGCTGAAAGTTGACAATTGAAACACAACTGAGAAATAATTATCTATTTCGTCAGGTTGATCAGGAATAGTTCTCCCTGTAACATAAATTTCGGACAGCAATTACCACCGAGATCACATATTGATATTTATTATCACATACATGTACAGTTCTCGATAACATTGACGAATTAAACTATTTCCTACAACAAAGAGACAAAAGATCCAATTCTTCCTGAAAATTTTGGACTGCAAATTAGAAGACATTTAGATGTTGTTTCTTCCATCCATGCATGTTTTAGTCCATGATAACTATTTTCCTTTTGTTATGTTTTATTGCTTCATTTTTTCGGGTTATATTCAATACTTTTGTTTACTAGGAAAATGCTAGAAAGAAAGGAAGCATTGTGTTTATCCCAATTTTGCAGTCACAGGTTCGCATCAGCATTAGCTTGAGAGGTAGTTCACCGTTAGTTCTGCTATATCATAACAACGGTAAACAGAACACACTGCGCGGTAACTTGGGTTAAACTATATACCGCTAGGTAATACAGACGTCCCCTAGGAAATTGCGGTAATCTTCTATTGCACATGTACAGGTGAGGGATATTGATAAGGAATGGCCAAGATAGCCCTGGCGTTGTCCCAAGAACTCTTCCAGGGAACTTCGACGTATTGATTTATATATATGAACGTATTCTCATCTTTGTTACTATACCCTGCGGCCAAATATTTATCAAAATCTAGTCAGTTGCGGGAAACAGACGTTGTTTTGCAAGCAAGAGAAACCATAGACCCTAATGATTCGTAAGGCACCACTGTAGGCACTTTTTGCTGAACACTATATACAACGCAGTTTAACGACATACGTACAGTTGAGTAGATACATGTCTGCTTTTCAGATGAAACTTACTGTGAATGCACAACCCCCACACTTCTGTCGTAACGATAGATTTATATAAATGTAACTGAGATACATCGAAACGTTTAAATGATATCCTCTAGTCAGTGTTTCCTTACCATCTTTACCATCTTGGCATGCCTCTTTCGCCGTGGCTATCTGGCTGTCGTCCATGGAGTAGTTATAGATCTGCAGGCAGGTGATTTTGCCCTTGAAGTTGGCGCCGACCGTGATGGGACCCTGGGTGCGCAGGTCGACGATGCCGATGGACTCGCTGGCCACCTCTTTCCCGTCGTGCCACAGTTTGGCGATGCCGGTTCGATAATCGTACGTGGCGCCGACGTAGTTCCACTTCTCGGGCTCCAGAACGCCCTCTTTGTTGACCGATTTTAGAATGGTGCCGTCCGCCCGTACAAACCTGGGATGTGGAACACACACATCGTAAATTTATCAGCCATTTTTGCAATGGTAAAAGTGTCATGGAAAGTATAGCTTCGTGGCCCAGGTATTAGGAAACTAAGAAACGCCTGACAAAATATGTGTGACCTTTTCACCACAAGTAGAACGCAGCAATGCAAAATCCAACTGCTTTTTAAAGTTAAAATCATTTTCAATTTTTTTCGGTTTATAGGTAGGTTCCCATCTTCATTTTATAGCCATGGTGTTAGTCCAATAAATCATTGTACGGTATTTTGCTGATGCTGATGGTGATGATCGACAATGATGAAGAAAACGGTGATTTTGACTGCGGCAATGTTGATAGCCATTGGGACAACTTACTATACTGGCAAATACGAGATGCATACTTCGGCAGATGTACTGCCCACTAGGGTTTCATATTACTTCGATGTCCACATCAATGATCGCATCGTAGTGTGTGAGATGTAGTGCTGCCTTACCTTGCTGACAGGCCCGTACTCCCGAGCTGCAGAAGCTCCATCCCGCTCCCGTTGTAGCCGAAGATGGTGCCGTTGATGCCGTTACTGGGCTGAATCTTGACCAACACCGTCAGAGACTGCCGGACGTCCAAACCGTCCACACTCGGAATGACCATCTTGGAGCCAGGGTAGCCCCCGAAGTAATATGACCCCCTATCAGGAGCCAATGTCACGCTGCTGCTCAGGTCGCCATGGTTGTTGTTGGGCTCCCATTCTCTCTTGGTTGTGCCATCTCCATTCTCGTGCCATGTGCAAGATTTGCTGACATCCTCCGATGTGCTTTTACTGTTCAGCGGCCACAAGCCAACAGGTCCTGCAAAGCCAGAAATGAATAAAGAGTCAAACTTCAAACTTTTGTTTCACGTAAGATACGTTTTCAATTCCCATGTTCCTTTTCGTTTGATTTGCAGGAAGTTTACCTTAATCAACTAGGCTTTGACCTGTTTGGAAAATGAGCTATATATATATAGGTCGTTTCATTGAGTCCTTTTTGCATCTCACTACGATTTTGGTATGTATGACACAGGGCCCATATTTTGGGGGTGAGCAGTGTATGTATCATCTTGTGTACTAAAGTGTACCCTGAAAGTGCCCTCAACACGGGAAGTAAATTAGAGGCAAAGCCTTGGGCGTGTTGCGCCCTTGAACATAGTCTGTATGAGCAGCCAGATGCATATTGCAAAGGACACTGCCTCATGCTAGTCATAGACGTACAACAAATCGTTCACCCATGACGATGACCTGCAAGCTTTACCTGTTGCTTTATTGCAAACTCAGTGGTAAGGTACGTTGAACTTAATTCCAACGCGACGAGGACAAAGATCGAGATCAAAATTGGAGGACAAAAATGACCAATCACATCCGAATGTAAACTCGCGAGAGTTACGGTTACAGACACGTGACTTTATTCAGGCGAGACTTTACGGATACGTGACGTCAGCAATTGATCAATCGAGCCAGGAAGTTTATTTCTTCAACCATCTCTATCAAGTGATGACTGGAGTGCCCTGATATCTATATATAGCCTCCTTTATACCCCTTAAAACGCTGCCTTGCTCAGTGTCCAGTATTCTAACAGTAGTCAATAGTAAGGTATTTCAAGGTAAGGCGCTTGGTTGTGTACCTGTCTTCCACAGGTGAGTACCGCTGTACATCCCTTCGAACTCCGGGTCGATGGCGATGAAGGCAAATTCTCCTTCAGTCATGCCGAGTCTCCTGGCAGCTCGCATCATCTCCTGGAGATCGCTGATAGGCGTGCACGTGATGACGACTGCAAGAACAAACAGAAACATGTCGTTCAACAGGTCGTTTTCCATATCGTGGATGAAGCAGATAGCTACGGACTGCCATATTGGTGTATCTGTTTGCTTCTCAATAGATAATATAGCTTAATCGTACACAGCATTTTTTCTGCTATATCGGCAAGATATAGGCATTCCTATGGCATTATTATCTTTACATCAAGCTGTAAACATTCGTTATTTGAGAGGGTGATGAGAGCTATAATTTACTGAAATATAAATAGGGACACCAACATGGCGGCTGACACAGTGACGGCGTCATCAGGAGTTGAATATGGTTTCTTTTGTTAACCTATTGTCACAAGCTTCTGAGACCAGGCAGATCAATACCTACAACCCTGTCGCACACAAATGACAACTGAAAACATATACTGGATTCTATTATATAAACTAGATTTAAAAGTTTAAAAAGTGGCTACATGTACGTCAGGTACAGTTACAACTTGAATATGACCTTATGTTAGATGTGCTGGCAAGTTCATGTTTGTTACGTAATACGTACGAGCAGATCATTATACAGCTCTACAACGTTAACGTATTGCTACCTAACTGTTAATTTACCAGTAGCATTTTGACTTATTCCAAACTCATGTTCCAAAGTCTTTCAATAGATAATACCTAGGTATTATATAAGCTCAAATAGACCCCCTAAACGATATACGTATTGAGGTCATCCGATCTAACATTTGATATTGTATATAAACGGAAACATTGGATCTATACATTTATAACAACGCAGGTATGCAGCGATAGATCAATCGATTACATTTGTTTGCGATCAAAGGCACAGAGAAGATTCTCTGATGTGAACGTTTCTGTTCTATCGCCCAAAGGCGCTGGTTGCCACAGACAAAATCATTTGTAACGAACGTGAACTAGATTGTTCTTATCACTGGCGCCATGCTCAACCATTAGAACGGCCAAGGCCGTTTGTCAGACGACCCTTCTGCAAAAGATTTCCTGAGATACCACATGTCACTGTTGAGAGCTCAAGATCATGACGAAGGTCAACGTCAAGTTGGAGCAAGGGTCGATAGAATTAAATTGCCCTGTAAAGAGATCACACCAACTTTCCCAGAGACGCCGTCTCAGTAGACAAGACACTACGAAGAAAACTGCAAATGGAAGAAGTTGATTGCTTTCTGTAAGGATTTTGCCACTGAGAACTGCGCGCATCTCGTAAAAGATATCTCCAAAGGTTAGAGTTGGTTGCCTCAATAACAACTGATATACAAGCAATATAAGAAAAAAAAACATGGCGCTACGAACGGGTAGTACCAGGCATTATATCACAGTGACTATATCTATCCAAGATATTGCAGAGTTGCTTTCCAAGAGAAAACTCTATATGTAAGCATTGTAACACAACAGACTGCAATACATCTTTTCTAGCAAATGGATGTAGATATGGGAACAATTTCAATATGGAGGAATAATGAAAATTCTCTCATGAGCCTGTCAGAAGAAATAATTGTCAGCCCGGGTCTGGCTACCCACGTGAGTGCCATTAATCCTAACCAGACATAGAAGCTGCATTAAGATGTCAACAGGCAATGTTTTTATCCATTAGTAAGATCGCATTTTTCCAGAAGTGGAATCAGAGGATTTGCCCGAGGGAGGACTTGCAGAGTTGAATTGTTTCGCTTGATCCTCTGCGCATACTGATAACAGCAATATTGGCACTATTCCGTCTGTACGCCTGGGCATAGGTTCCGAATTCTTTGAAGTACTTCACTTTCTTACAAGACATGGTTATCTTTACGCTTGAACTTCTCTGTTTGCAATCCATGTGGTATAGAGATCCATGCTGCAGTAGTACTAGTTCTGTATGTGAAGGCTTTTTGACGTTGTTCCTTTTTGGCTAGTCCAGTTTAGAGGTGTACATGTTAAGAGTTGCACACCTTGTTCTGTAACTATGTTGATGTGACACCGGACACATGATTGTAAAGTATGGCTGGTTGTTATTTGTTAGACAGGATTTTTTGGAAGGAACAATAATTGTTATTGATGTGTAGTCATTAAAGAGCAATAATTGTCTTCGTTGCAACAGGTAGAAGTATATACGGTAGCTTTTGCAATAGAAGAGTTGTTCTTCGTATAACAGCTATTGAAGACAGCTGCACCAAATGATGACATATTCGCAACATGCGCTGATCGTATCAGCGTCTTCTCCAACAATTTGCTGCCAAAACTTGCCAGACATGAAACACCGTAATGTCGTTAGCTGCTCAATTATTGATCTCTTGTTCTAAAATAAGCTCGTCGCGGGAACTGGGTCTCCCTCCCCCATGGCCTGTAAAGTGTTATAGATCGCACATCGACGCGACTAGCGAAAACCAGACACAGACTGAAGTTGGAATCGATCACCCACTTTTTGCGTACTAACGCACTTTCCTCAGATAGAATGATGCACTTAACATTGAAGGAAGAGACTAACTTCTCCGAAGGGTCTCTT